GATCATCAACAAAAACTTTATGTCCTCAACTTATTTGAATGTTACCTTCATCTTACTCCTCCCCCTGAGGATTTCCTGGCAGTGACCTTAAACTGCAGCTGCCCTCCCTTCTCTCCTTTCCACCCAAAGGACATGGAGGGCCAGGAAAAGAAAGCCATGAAGGCTTCCAGTTCCCTTATACTCCAGCTGTGAAGCATAGAAGAGGGGGAAAACAGTCCATCCCTACCCAGAGGCAGGCACCTTCAGGGCTGTACCGCACATCCTTTGTAGGCATGGGCTTTAGGCTGCCATTCTTGGTGATTTCAATGGCTACCAGGCTTCCAATACCTCAACCTCCCCAATCCATGAAGTCCTCTTCTGCCTCACTTTAGCCATTCATCTGCCCCACTCATTCTCTAAGTCTTGAAGTTACAAACTGTTTTCTTCCACTAATTCAATTCTGAACACCCATCATTCTTACCTGTCTAATTTATTACCTCTCGTATCAGCACTTTAAATGTGTTTGACCAACCTCTTCCCAATCTAGAATAGGCTGGTGCTACCCCCTCCCACCTCTTTGTACTCCACACCTTGCCTATTCTTATTTCTGACCTTACCTGGCCTAGATTTCGTGGTCCTATATTACAATCACTACATGGAACTTTTATTGACTACTTTCTTTATACTCACTGGATAGTCTCAAGCTCTGCCTGTTCCACATTTGCAGCCCCACAGTTCAATTCATATTGATAGGTTGATCTCAAACTCAAAATGACAACTCCCAATAGAACTGTATCTTGCCAGACAATCCTAATGCACATCCCTTGTCCACTGACTCCCCCACTACAGGACTATGTCATCTACTCTCTATCCTCATTCCTCCAATGCCATCACCTTGTCATTATTCTCAGCTAATGAAGATATTTTCCATTTGACTGACAAAATGAAGTGATCAGAAAGATCTCACTGCCATATATAGCTATCTGCAACCTGCATCTGAGGAGACTCTGCCCTCCCATCTGTTCACAGATGACTGTCTATGCTCCTGACCCTGCATACCCCTCCATTTGCACACTCTTGTCACTAAATCAGACCAATAGTTATCTTCTCCCCCCTACTGAGGACTTTTTCCCCCTATTGATAGGAAAACATCAATATACAACATGTGCTATAATACCCACCCATAAAAAAAACAAAAACAAAAATACACCTCAATCTTCACATTCCTTCTAGTTAACAACCAGTTCTCTACTCCTCTTAAAGCAAAACTCCACAAAAGAATTTTCTATTCATGCTGTCCTCAGCTTCCCTTTTTCCACTCTCACTTAAACCCACAATAGTCTGGCTTAGCCCAACCATACCACCAAGAAAGCCCTATATTCCTTGCCCTCCACAGTGAAACCCAGCACCATCCATCACAGTTGGTTGCCCTTTTTCCTTTTCAAAAGCACATCTTCACCTAACTTCCAGGACACCGCACTCTCTTAGATTTTTCCCATAGCAGCCTCTTCCTCTGGGCTCCAACCACTGCAAAGTGCCTAAGGCTCAGGCCTCACAGACAGATATTCCTTTCAATCTGCATTTGATCTCCTGCAAACTGACCCTGCTGGTGCTTTAAAACCATCTGGACATGGGAGCCTACATCTACCACCAACACAGTCACTGAGGTTCAGACCCATATCTTATTCAGATATGTAAGGTACAAATGAACATGGTCAAAAGCCTCATGATTTCTTTCATCAATGTCTTATAATTTTCAGTATAGAGCTCTTTCATCTCTTTGGTTAAATTTATCCCTAACTATTTTACTATTTTTGATGCTATTGTAAATGAGATTTAACTTATTTTTCTGTTACTCTGTTGCTAGGGTACATACAGATCTCCTACTGAATTTTGTATGTTCATTTCATATTGTGCAACTTTACTGAATTCATTGATTAGATCTAACAGTTTTTCAATGGAGTCTCTAGGATTTTCTATGTATAGAATCATGATGAAAAAATTGCAGACAAGACAAATATATGGAAAGACAGCCAATGTTCATGGATTAGAAGAATTAATTTGTTAAAATATCCACAACTACCCAAAGACATCTATAGGTTCAATGCAATCCCTATCAAGATTCCAATGGCATTTTCAGTGAAACAGAAAAAGCAATCTTAAAATGTATATGGAACCACAAAAACCCCAAATAGACAAAGCAATCCTGAGAAACTACAACGAAGTGGAAAATATCACACATACTGATTTCAAGCTATATGATAAAGCTGTAGCAATCAAAACAGTATGGTATTGGCATAAAAACGGACATATAGACAAATGGAATAGAATACAAAGCCCAAAATACACCCATGTATACAGAGTCAAATAAAATTTGCTAAGGCTGCCAAGAATACAAGTAGAGAAAAGACAGTCTCTTCAATAAATGGTGCTGGGAAAATTGGATATTTACATGTAAAAGAATGAAACTAGACTCCTATTCTTATATGACTCATAAAAATTAACTCAAAGTGGATTAAAAACTTAATCCATAAAACCACAAAACTAGAAGAAAATATAGGGAAAAAGCTCCTTGACGTGGGTCTTGGCAATAATTTTTTGGATGACACTTAAACCACAGGAATAAAATGAACAGGTGGGACTACAATCAAACTAAAAAGCTTCTGCACGGCAAAAGAAATAATCAACAAAATGAAAGGGCAGCCTACAGAAGAAGAGAAAATATTTCCAAATCACATACTTGATAAGGAGTTAATATACAAAATACATAAAGAATTTATACAACTGAGTAGCAAAAAAAACCCTCAATTTTAAAATGGGCAAAGAACCTAAATAGACATTTTTCTTTTTTCTTTTTTTTTTTTAAGATTTTATTTATGTATTTGACACAGAGAGAGAGATCACAAGTAGGCAGAGGCAGGCAGAGAGAGAGGGGGAAGCAGGCTCCCCGCCGAGCAGAGAGCCCAATGCGGGGCTCAATCCCAGGACCCGGGGATCATGACCTGAGCCGAAGGCAGAGGATCAACCCACTGAGCCACCCAGGCGCCCCTAGACAGTTTTCTTAAGAAGATATTTAAATGACCAACAAGTACAGGAAAAGGTATTCAACATCACTAATGATTAGGAATATGCATATCAAAACCACAATGAGAGACATCACCTCACATTTGTCAGAATGATTATTCCAAAAAGGCAAGAGATAACAAATTCTTGTTAATATATGCAGAAAAAGAAAGTCTTGGGCACTGTTGGTAGAAATGTAAGTTGGTGTAGCCTCTATGGAAAACAGTATAGTGGTTCCTCAAAAAATTAAAAAAGAATTACTATATGATCCAGTAATTCTTCTGCTGGGTATATACCTGAAGGAAATAAATCACTATTTTGAAGAGGTATCTGCACCTGCATGTTGACTGCAGCATTATTTACAATAGCCAAAAAATGGAAACAACCTGGCAATCCATTGACTCCCAGGATATAAATGAATGGATACAGAAAATGCGGTACACACACACACACACACACACACACACACACACTGACTGGATTATTCAGCCACAAAAAAGAAGGAACTCCTGTCATTTGTGGAAACATGCTGGACCTTGAGGGCATTATGCTAATCCCTTTAACTGTCTTCCTTTCCTGCTCTTTCTAGAGACTAATACAGACCACCACCATCCTTTTTTGACACTTTAAACTTCTCTACTTTGGGCATAAGGCCTTCGGAGTTATTTTATGATATATATATATATACACACATATATGTATATATATATATATGGAATAGACATGAAGTAACCCACCATGCTACATCCATTCCACTAGACTCTGTGGCATCCTAATGCTTGTCCCTCCACTCCTACACTTAAGACAAGCCTCTTCTTTCCTGATCCCACCACCCCACTTCCTTCCCTGGACATTGACAGAGCAATTATCCCTAACCACTCTGTCTCCACTGGGTCTTCCTCGTTATTTTCTAAATAGGACTCATCTTGCCTCTGATGACTCTTTTGGACCCAATATCCCTTTCAAGCCACTAGCAGCTAATCTCTACATCTGACTTCTCGCCTAAAATCTCAGTTCTAGCAGAAGAACCACAGCACTGTCTCCACTCTTTGTCTTGGATACACCTTGAACCATGGGTCTCTGGCTTCTGCCCCTGCTAGCTCACTAACATTGCCATTGAGTTTTTAGTATATACTGTACCTGCCCCCTCTTGACATAAACATTTCCTAAACAGATCCAAACCTGTGTTTTTCACTGCCACATTTACTCTTTCTACTGAAACTCCTTTTTCTTTCAAACTCTCCACTAAGTTTCCTTTTGTGGCACTAGTTCCCACAAGTTCTCACTTTCATTGAAATTTTCTTTTCATTGTTTTGCTCTAATTTAAAACACAAATTAACCATATATTACACAGAGTTGGGACACAGCTCTTAGAAGGCATACTCCTATCCCCTTCACATGTTCTGTGTGACCTCCCCCCATAGCCTGGCCCTTGTGGTTATTCATATACATAAAGCCAGTTTCCTATCTTTGCTATTTTTGCTGTGTCTTTGTTCTCTCATATATCTTTGCATTTGCAAGTGTTCCCTTGGACAATCTCTGTAACCATATTTGTAAAAATAATCTGAATATATTTATTTCTATTTCTCTCTTTATAATATAACTTATTCAAAAACAGGAATCGTCTTAATACTTGTCTTAATTGTCTAAGTATCTGGAATACTGATGCTCAATAAAATCTGATAAACCCAAATAACCAATCCCATTAAGGAAGCAGTCATGTCAGCTGTTATGACTGAAACAGTGAATGTGTGACTTGGATAAACAGTTCCCTAAATCATTTCCAGAAATGAGAACTTCTATAATTGCTTATTGAAGTTCCGATTCTATTCTGTCAATTTTCTTCCCCAAGTAAACAAGTTTAAGTATTTTTAAATTAACATTTTAGGTATTTGGATTTAAAAGAAAGATATCAACTTTAAAAAAACAGTATTTTTTAAAAAAAGGTGTAATTTAACCTCAAAAGCTTCTTCTTGTTTGCTGATGTTTCTGGAGTCCTCGGAAACATCTGTTTCTGGGGTGTGTACAAAGTGGTCTCTGCAGATTTCACCTTCTGCTTTACAGGTCTCTCCAGTATCTGTCTATCATCAGATTCAAAATCCATGTGGTATTTGAGAGAAGATTCTGAATCAATGGAGTAATCCTCCTTTTCACTATCTGATGAATATTCCAAAATTTCTGTAGAACTCTGAAAAATATTAAAAGAAATGCAATTAAATCTGGAGAACTCTTTATTCAAGTCCATATTTACATGTCCTTTTATTCCATTATCTTCTGGTTATATTCACTGAAATAACTTTGTAAATAGTTACTTATAGGTTAAATTTTTATTCTGAAATTACTATCTATAGGTCCTATTTAAGAATATGAGTCACTTGGGGCACCTGGGTGGCTCAGTGGGTTAAAGCCTCTGCCTTTGGCTCAGGTCATGATCCCAGGGTCCTGGGATCAAGCCCTGCATCAGGCTCTCTGCTCAGCGGAGAGCCTGCTTCCTCCTCTCTCTCTGCCTGCCTCTCTGTCTACTTGTGATCTCTGTCAAATAAATAAATAAAATCTTTAAAAAAAATATATATATATGAGTCACTGCCTCTTTTTCCTAACATTTCCTAAAATGTTTCTTACTTTCTTCTACTCAATTTCTAATTCAAAAAATTTTTTTTGAAAAATGGATTATAAAATTGGACATAATATCACATAAGGAATCCTAGACAGAAGAATCAAAACTTCTGTTGATGTCTCCTTTCTTTACTTAAGACACATGCTAAAATATTTAAGCGTGGTAGGTATTTTATTTTCCCATTACTTGGTATTGCAGATCAGTTCCATTTTGTTCTAGTATCACCAACAATTTATCCTTCAACATTCTAAAAATTTCCAGTGTATTAGTAAGCTCTTCTCATTTAATACCCTTACAAAATAATAAATTTATTAAAATAATTTAATAATAAATTTCTTAATAAATTTACTGATTTATTAATAAATGTAGTAACTTAATTACTAAATTATTTATTATTTATTAATAACTTAATAATAGATTATTAAATGAAAACAATACACTTAGTTGGAATGGATCTTTGTTGGGTAGGCATGGGGTCTCCCAGGAGGAGCCCTGTCTATTTTGAATGGGTCAACATGGACTGTGTCCCTGGCACTGTAGCAGACACTTGGTTAAAGAGAATGAAGAGGATATAAGTGTATGAGGGTTATTGTTGGTAGTTACATGGGTGTGTGTGAACTGGTGTGTGAGTGTGCAGGGTAGCACTAGAGCTTTCATCATTTGCTAATCTAAATATAAAACAAGAAATTTACTATATTTGGTCTTTTCTGAGGATTCTATAGTTAAGTCTTTTTTAAGAGCTTAAAAAAGGACATCACTCATTCCTTACCTCCAAAAAACTGCCTGGGTAGTCACCTGTTACTAGGCACATTTGAAATAAGAAAACGTAAATGAAAAAAGTTCTCAAACAAATAGTTCTCAAACAAATTCACAATCTCAGCTGCATGCTTAAATTACTGCAGGTAGCTGATAACCCACTAATAAGCACTAGACTCACATGTTTTACCCACAGACAAATTCTGAATAAATATTAACAACAGACCACAAAAAAAAAAAACAAACCACAAAGCAGTTTAGACTAAAAATTAACTTGCTTGAAACTAAAAATCTGTATACACTACTTGAGAACTCCAAACTCAATTCATCTTTTTGTTACGAAAAGTCTTTCCTTTTAGTACCCTAAAGTTTTACACTTCATTCCAGAGCAGGGCTTCTTAACCTCAGTACAACTGCCATTTGGGCTGGATAATGTGGTAGGAAGTCTCTTGTACACTGTAGGGTTGTTTAGCAGCATACCTAGCTCCTACCAACTAGATGATAACAGCATGGTCTCACCAATCATAACTATCAAAAAGGGCTTGACACATTGCTAATGTCCCCTGGAAGACAAAATCACCCCTAAGTATGAACCGTTATCCTGGAAAAATGTCAGCAAAGGGGCGCCTGGGTGGCTCAGTGGGTTGGGGCCTCTGCCTTCGGCTCGGGTCGTGATCCCGGGGTCCTGGGATCGAGCCCCACGTCGGGCTCTCTGCTCGGCGGGGAGCCTGCTTCCCTTCCTCTCTCTGCCTGCCTCTCTGCCTACCTGTGATCTCTGTCTGTCAAATAAATAAATAAAATCTTAAAAAAAAAAATGTCAGCAAATAGTCAACTACATTTGGCCTGTGCTGGAGACTCACATCCAGAAGTGAAGGGAACACAGGACTTCATAGGGATGGAGAGGTCAGAACGAAATGCATTAGTTCCCCCTTCTCTGAGGGGATACATTCCAAGACCCTCAGTAAATGCCTGAAACTACATGGTACTGCATCCTATACAGACTATGTTTTTTCATATACATACATACCAGAAATAAAACTTAATGTATAAATTAGGCACAATAAGAGATTAAAAATAACTAGTAATAATATAGAATTATAATAAAATTTATGTGAATGTGGTCTTTCTCTCAAACTCTTATAGTACTGTACTATAAGTACATCACAAGAAGAAGTACCCTTCTTCTTTCTCTCAAACTCTTTCTCTCAAACACTTATAGTACTGTACTGTAAGTACATCACAAGAAGAAGTACCCTTCTTCTTGGGATGATAAAATGCCTACTTGATGAGGTGAAGTGAGGTAAATGATATAGGCACCAGTCATAGTGTTAGGCTACTAACGACCTTCTGATGATAAGTCAGAAGGAGGATCATCAGCTGCCAGACTGTGGTTGATCCCAGGTAACAAACCATGAAAAGTGAAACCACAGATAAGGCGGATTACTATAGTTATAAAACAATGTGGTAGAAGGATTGTAACTGAAATATTGCTCAGGCTCTACCGGGAACATGTAAGAAGAACAAAGAAATCCGGGTGGGGCACAGGAAGAAGGGAAGAACTGCCACTTAAAGCTGAATGCTAAGTGTAAGTTAATTAGAAAGAGGAGCAAGGGGGCGCCTGGGTGGCTCAGTGGGTTAAAGCCTCTGCCTTCGGCTCGGGTCATGATCCCAGGGTCCTGGGATCGAGCCCCATATCGGGCTCTCTGCTCGGCAGGGAGCCTGCTTCCTTCTCTCTCTCTGCCTGCCTTTCTGCCTACTTGTGATCTCTATCTGTCAAATAAATAAATAAAATCTTTAAAAAAAAAAAAAAAAAGAAAGAGGAGCAAGTACATCCCAGGGAAAAGGAACAGGAAGAACACAAATATGAGGTCAGAGAGAACAGAGCACATGTAGGAAAATCTACAAGCAGCAGCCAAGAGAGGTTGTATGAAGACCCTGAAAACAACAGCAGGGCATTTGGCTTTATTCAGAGGCAGTGGGGGAATCACTGGCAATTTCCACAAGGGCTAATAAAATCAGATGTTAATAGGGAATGATCATCCAAAATACATTCTGAACAGCAGACTCTAATATGGGAGAGAGAAGGTACCAAAGACTACTAATAGGAAAGCAGCTGGCTAGAAGTTCTTCATAATCAAAGCAGAACACAAAGAGGATGTGAGTGGGAGTAAGAATAGGAGAGGTACACGTGAAAGAAAATAAGGGAAGAGATGTAACCACACTTGAAGATTCTCACATATGAGAAAGTAGAGTGAAGACAGATTCAAAGAAGGCCCTAAGCCTCTGTTTGGGTAACCAGAAAAGTGTGCTCACCTAGAAAGGGAATTCAGAAAATAATCAGAGCGATAGTTGCTGATAAACATTTGGTTTTCGTATGTTAATGTTCTGATGCCTATAGAATAGCTGAGGTAAAAGTGGCCAATAGGTAGCAGCTTTAAAGGTCTGGAGTTTTAATAAATGATATGGGATAGAGATATAAATTCAGGAATCATTAAAACAGAAACTGTGCATTAAAGTATGTGAGTTGGAAAAGACCATTCTTCTGAATTCTGTAGAAGTGAGAAGAGAAGGTCCAGGCTAGAACCGTGGGAATACCATCAACATTTAAGCTGTATTCAGGTGAGAGGAGACAGAAAAGGGTTTTGGATTTGAGAAAAAAAAGATTGCACAGCTATAAGAAAACTATGAGACCTTACAAATAGTGCACTATGAAGAATAAATGATGCAAAATGGCCCAGCCACTTTGGAAGACAGTTGGCAGTTTCTTACTAAACTAAATATACTCTTACAATATAATCCAGCAATCATTCTCCTTGGTATTTACCCAAAGGAGTTGAAAACTTATATCCACACAAACACCTGCACACAGTTGTTTAGATCAATTACTCATAACTGCCAAAACGTGGAAGCAACCAAGTTGTCTTTCAGTAAATGAATGAGTAAACTGTGGTACATTCACACAATGGAACAGTATTCAGCACTGTAGAGAGGTGAGCTATCAATCCATGAAAAGACAAGGAAGAACCTTAAATGCATATGACTAAGTGAAAGAAGCCAAATGAAAAAGGTTACATACTGTATGATTCCAACTATATTACATTAAAAAAAAAAACCAAAAACCTGTGGAGACAACAAACAGATTAGTGATTGCCAGCAGTTCTGAGGCAAAGATGAAGAGGCAGAGTTATCTTGGATAGTGAAAATACTCTGTATGATATAATGATGAATATATGTCATTATGCATTTGTTCAAGCCCACAGAATGGACAAAACCAAAAGTAAACCTTAACATACACTATGGACTTTGGATGACTGTGACACGCAGTCATCAATTTTAACAAATGTGCAATTCTGGTAAGAGATGTTGATAATGGGGGAGGCTATAGATGCGACAGGGCAAGGGGTATACAGCAAGTCCCTAGGCCTTCCTCTCAATTACTGTAAACATAAAACTGCTCTAAAAACATAAGTAAAAAAAAAAACAAAAATAGGAATAAATGGAAGGGAAGGTGAAAAGAGGTGACTTAATTCTTTCAGGAAGCTTGGAAATGCTTATTTTAATTTCTTTCAAAAATAGAAAAGACAGCATAAAAAGACACATCTTCCCAGCTATGCACATGTATGACAAAGCTGAAGTTAAAATCATGACAGTGAAAGTGTACTCCAGACTCCAGTGTATCTTCCAACCACAACCATGAACTTTAATTGAATCTCCTCAAGGAAGAATTCAATAGCATTAAGATTGGTAAGATTTAACAGAAATTTAGGTAGTACTTTGGAATTTCATGGCACCATGACAATCAGTTTTAGGCAGTT